GAGTCTGGCGGATACTGTTGGCCATCTGTCTCAGACATTCAATGGCAAATTTATATAGCCAGAAATCAAATTCCTTCTGGACTAAATTTTCATCCAGAGACAGAACCCAAATGATACACTTCTTCATCAGATTTATCATACTCAACTTTAACATTACGTTGCTCTTTCCACTCATTCCATGTTTTGACGCCCCATTTTGTAGCGCTGTGAGTTGTCTTGGGTATGCGTGACTGCTGGTATTCGGTGACTTGTTTGCTGTCAACTGGAGGCAAAAAACGGAATTCTTTCTGAATATCGCTCAGTTTAAAGTCCTCGGCGTCGTCCACATCAATTTGGGACAACCAGTTTTCCAAATCCCAGTCAATTTCCGGAGCAGCAAATTCTTGAGCGGACATGATTCTGGCGGATCTCCGGAGTTCACCCAACAACGTGCTATACTGTTCTCACAAATAAGCACCAAATTCACGTGATCGAATGTTTTATATGCAATTCTACGTGGTCCAATCAGTGTTGGTTATGGTAATACAATAAAGTCCACTGTTGGTGGATTCTATTGTTAAACAAAACAAACTCTGCTGAGTAAATGCCGATTGGCTAGAGCTTTTCAACACATCTGTTATAGCCAATGAGCACGGCTGATAATTGCGGTTGACTACACCTGGTTTAGAATTGCGATTTACACAATAGCGCTGTAAACATCCGCCATGACCACAGGATTTAAAATAAGCCGTGCAAAACTCGTCAAATTCGCAGTATAACTTCGTTATACTACCCCTCCTCGTAGATTAGCGGGAAATAGCGCCTCGGACTTTTACCAGACCGAGGCTCCAAAAGGAGCCGCTATTTCCCGTTAATCTACTCGTAGGGGTAGTATAACTATCAGTAAATGGCGAATTTTTCAAACAAATGAAAGTCGAATTGTCTTTCTTTTCTGGAGACATTTTCGAAAATAATGGTATCACAGTCGCCCCAATCTCGGATGATCTATATTGTCCATGAAGGTCATCCGGAATCATAAAAGCGAGAGATATGGGTCTCATATATAAACAAAGATGCGCAGATCAACGAGTAAAAACTGAGACGTTACCAAGCTTTAATTAGGTATTTATTAGGTGATTAGGTATCGATGTAGTCACCGTCGGTAATTAGTGCAAGTCGCGCCTAGGTCTAAACCTCATACTTGTGATTTCTATTTACTGTGCAGATTAGCGTCTTAAATGCACATCAAGACAGTACAGCGGGGGTCACGAACGACATGCAGCGACACAAAAAAGCAGAGAAAACGCAAAAATTGTCTTGTGGAAAGGTATTATGGAACTTATTTTTCTTGATATACCTGTATCACATTTAATTAAGAACACAATAGTACAACCAACAAGTATGAAAAATATTAACAGGAGAACGTAAATGAAATCGTTTTATTTTCTTGCCCAAACAAATAGTGATGAAATATTATAAATTCTGGTATCTGAACCGTCATGTGAAATAATCTTGTCAAATTCGTGCAGCCAGTCTTGAAGGAAATCTTCGTGTTGGTTTGGTGGTATCACATTAAGCTGACCAAGTAGGGGTATAAAAAAATCTAGAAAATATAAATAGAACAATTGTCACAAGGTTCATATGAGATCAAGAACATTGCAAGAAAACGAGCACTCCTATTGTTTTCTGCAGGAGTTGAGGCCATTGATGTTTTAGAAACACTACCTGACGTAGAGGGCAGTGAAAATATATACAAGGCAGCTGTAGATGCTCATAGTAATTTTTTTCCTGCTAAAAATGAATAAAACCTATGAGGTCAATGTTTTTAGGCATGCTTCTCAGAAGACTGATGAATCGTATTTTACCCGATTGAAAGAACTTGCAAGTAATTGTGGTTTTCATGAAGTCAATGAAGAAATAAAATCTCAGATAGTATTATCATGTGTGTCGACTAGGTTACGTCGTAAAGCTCTGAGAGATGATTTAACATTCGAGGCATTGTTAGATTCTGGTCGTTCTTTGACAGTAGACAATAAGATTGGGACATTAACAGAAAAGTCCAGTCTGTGAAAAAAGCCAATGACAATGAAATAAACACAAGAAATTACAGCAGTAAAATCCAGCACGACTGGAGCCTAACAGTAAACGCGAAAAATAACCGCATATAGGTCAGTGCCCAGCAAGAGATCAGAAATGTGATAGAACGGGACATTTCGCTAAAATATGTCAGGGCAAAATATTGCAAAATGTCAATTCTGATCCAACTACAGATTTTCTTCATCAGGTGATGACTACAAATATCACATCATAGTGTCCTCCATATCCACCAATCAACAGCCTGATTGACATTGATGGTCACTGACAGTCAAATGTATACTTGATTCCAGCGCAGGGACAAATTTGTTAGATCATCAACGCAGAAATTACACAATGTTCAACGAATGTGTATGTATATGCATCTAAGAAACCATTTCCAATACTTGGTGAAGTTAAAGTGAACAGTCTACTTGCACTAAGTTCCATGTTGTAAAAGGATCAGCAGGAAATTTACTGCAGACAGATTTGAAGGTATTGGCAAAATGCCAGTTACAAAAGCAACGTTGCATATCAACACATCAGTCAAACCATTTGCACAGCAGCATCGGCAAGTGCCATTCCATGTACGTGAGCAAGTTGAAGCAGAGATAAATAAGCTAGAGCAGTTAGACATAATAGAGAAGGCAGATGGAGCCACTCCGTGGGTATCTCCTATAGTAATAGTACCTAAAAAGACAGGAATCAGGAATATGTGTTGACACGAGAGCTGCCAATCAAGCTATAGAAAGAGAGTGACATCCCATACCAACAATAGAAGACCTGAGTGTTGATTTTAATGATGCAATTGTGTTCAGCAAGATAAATCTAAACCAGCTTGAGCTGGACATAGAATCAGGGCATATAACTACGTTTGCTACTTACATGGGTTTATATAAATACAAGAGACTAAGTTTCGGAATAAACTCTGCTGCTGGAATATTTCAGAAATGATACAAGGTATATGTGGTGCTAGGAACCTTTCGGATGACTTTATCCGATATATATGGTAAGACACAACAGGAACATGGTGAATGATAAGAAAGTAACAGCAGTAATCAATGTCAGAGAACCAGAAGATGCATCAGCTATACATAGTTTCCTAGGCATGGCTCAATACATTGTTTGGTTTGTGCCTGATTTTGCATCAATTGCAACACCATTACAGAATCTAACTCACAAAGATGCAAAGTGGGACGGGGGACCTGAGCAACAAGGATCATTCGAGAAGATAAAGAGCCTGATGGCAAGTCACAGAGTGATAAAGTACTTTGCTCCAAGGCTGAAAACAGAGTTGTTGGAGTAGATGCAATTCCTACAGACCTTGGCGCAGTCTTAACACAAGCAAGTGAGAACAGAGATACTTGTAATATCGTTTGATATGCAAGTCGTGCACTGACTGATACAGGGACGAAGTACAGCTAGACAGAGCGAGAATTCCTTGCAGTTATATGGGCTTGTGGACATTTTCACATCACGTATCATCACGTATGTTCACGTCATCACGTATGGAACCCTGCTGACTACATGAGTCGACAACCTGACCAGGTAAACCACTTAATCATGCATATTAGGTTACAGGTGCACGTCAATTTGTTTTTGGGGTTCGAACAAAAATGGCCGACTGGCAGCCATTTTGTTTTTATTCATGTCTGTGATGATTCATGACTAATACTAATGCGAGTTTCAAAGAATTAACCTGTCCATAGAAAGTTTGATATTTAGCTGCCTAAAATCTGTCTCGGACATTGGAATTTTAATCTATGATTGTTTGTGCTTGCACAGTTTACTGGCATTATGTATACAACTATGATTTTTTTATCAGAATGTCATTTCAGGATTAAAATGTCCACGCGACTTCACATTAAAGACATAGATGTTTTATACAATCTTGGTGTGGGGGCGCTGTATACATTGCAGTTCAGGTTTGTTGAATGCACTATATTATTGCAATGGGAAACAAAATCACTAAAAATGTCTATTACAGCTTATGCATCTTCATTTAAAGTTTTAATTCTATTGCTGAACATATAGTGTTTCACAAAACTTGTCATTTTAACATATGTTTCTCTGATTAAGCTCATATTATTCGTTTGAGTACATGCTGGCATGTGGTTACCTATTACATTTTCCACCCAGTGAATAGTTTCTGCAACAGCAGAATACATCGATATAGCCACAAATAATCCTTATAATTGTGAATCGTCACTAGTTATGAACTTAATACAGAACATGGACTGTGCATTCTCAATGATTGTTACCTATGTAATCAGCCATCAATGACGTTCTAATATTGACAAATTATTAAGCAGCATGAACATCATACGATCTAATTAATAAAAACTCTCTAGTTGTATTAGAAATATTGTCAAAATATGATAATGTATTCATACTGTTACCTTTCATCTGTTCTGCCGAATAAATGATAGTCATGTCACCAGAATAACACTTGACCTCAGTAAAGCCACATTCCCTTACACTTTCAGCAAATTCTTCAGGGCTTCCCGGAAACATATAAAGGCCGTCATTGAAACCCTTGATAAATATTACAAAATAAAGTATACAGTTTGTATTCTGGTGACACGACAACAAACTTAGTGTTATCATGACTGGAGAATCGTTCAACTGTCATTTAAATAATCTATATGACACTTATGTAATACGTTTTTTGTGTGAAAAGTTGTACTATACAAACCAATAGTTCTGTAATTTACACATGACGAAAAGAAATGAGATACAACAGCAACATTAAATATACACATAGTAGTAAAATGATGGAATACAATATATGAATCTTGTTCATCATTTACCGGTTTATCTGTCTTTGACTGTTAAATAAAATGTCATACCTGCAGTTGGTGTTTCCATTTTTCATGGCGATTCATCTGTTTATTAGTATCTTTTGCTGCACTCTTGTAGACGACATGAATAGCACATTCACCGCCATCAGATAAACACGCGTAAACATTCTTGAGTGCGTCTTTTTGATTCTCAAACCGATGAAAACAGAAGAACGAAACTACCTTTGTGAAACGATTACATAACTGTGGATGGTCTTCCACTAATGTACACACATCAGCATGTAAATACTCCATTTTTCCAGTTATCTTGTTATGCTTTTTGGCATACTCAATCATTTGCGTTAATACGTCAACATCTGGAAAAATTAAAGGCAATGTTATTCGTAATTTGCGACGAGAACAAAGGGGAATTATATTAGGAGTTTATCACTATAGGGGCTTGGAGTCCTTATTAAGGGGTCCAAGTCTATATGCACTTGGATCCTTATTGTTATCGTTATGATTTTCTGATTGACCGGAAATGGACAATTTATCGCACTTCCGATGGTTTTTGAGATGTGAATTTAATATTGTAGCATTTGTGATATATTGCATATTTATTTATTCACCATATTAAAAGTAAATTAAACTACTATTGCATTGTTGTCATATTTCTTGAGTTCCATTTATAAAATAATTTTGATTGAATATATTAGCTTTGTGTGAAATACATGTTCTTGTATAATATAATGATAATAATAACTTGTGTACACTACTATGCCATCAGAGGGCGCATTATGGTAAATAAAATAAATTAAAATACAAATCATAAAAAATACAGCAGCTAAATAAACTAAACTATGATAAGACAAAAATTATAATTAAGAGATGTTAAAAAATTAATGGGAAAAAATTGAATGTTAATTACAGGATTCTCCCACTGTAGAGGTTATAGCTTTCATATACTTGATTTTTGTTTTGCTTTATTTAAAAACTTTGCGAGGGGTATAAAGTCAGTACTTTAATTGTTTGTTTTATTTATAATTAGCTCTCCTCTTTCTTTGTCGAAAAATTCACAGTTTTGAATAAAATGCTGTTTTTCCTCACTTAAATTGTATGACATTTTTCTACATCTTTGGTTTTTGTCGCCTGCCTCTTTCAATTTCTAAATTGTGATCACTAAGCCGAAATTGACTCACGATTCCCCGAAGGCTGAAGTTTGTAATTTTAGTTAAGCGTGTTTCTATTTTCAAATGTGATTTAAACAATTTATATGTTCTCATTTTATTGCCATCTTTACCATTTTTCTGTTAGGGAAATTTAAGTTTTCGTTCCAAAATTCCCCATATTCTTTTGTCAGTTTTATTGTAACAATATTGCATACTTGATCAACGTTATTCACATTATGGTTTGATTTTTTTTTCAAAATCATTGTGGCCCATTATAATATTTTCTATATGTTATATACAGCTATAATTACTCTTCATTGAGAGCACATTTAAGTTAATGGTTATCAGGAAAGGTATTTAGACTAAACCAATAATTAGTTGCCAATGTTGATGCCTTTATTCTTATTGGCGTTCCCCTTTAATATTGATTACTGATGTAGTTTTACTTACACCAAGTATGAAACGATGAAATTGACCACAAGTTTGTTCTAGGTTATTCTCATTACTAAATCACAAGCCCAGATTTCTGTCCCGTACATTAAAATTGATGAAATTAGTTAGTCACATAGGTTTAAACACAGTGAAGGGGACACCATTTTGTGATTTAATATGGTTTGTCGTATAGAGAATAAAGCTTTCATTGCTTTGTTTTTTAACATTAATAAATTTGATTTGAATTTTTTATTTGGTGTAAATATAGTTTCTAAATAACGGAATATTTTGGTTATTTATTGAGAAATTGTTACATTTAAGAATTCTGTTGCCGAAATCAAAAATCATCAATTTTGTTTTCTTTATGTTAACTACAAGGCTCCATTTTTTCACAATATTTTGTTAGTATGTTCAAACAATTTTGAAGACCTTTGGGAGATTTAGAGACCAATACTAAGTCATCTGCATATTGAATACAATTTATATGTTTTTTACCAATCAAGACAAGGTCATCATTCTTTTTACAATGGAGACATTTATGAAGCATAACACAATCTGTATTAATATCCACATGTAGGAAGGTATTTAGGTAAACTATTTGCAGGTAAAGTGACCTCATCAATATATCTAATAACTAGTGATCTATTGTTAATATTCTTTTAATATTACTGGAAATTAATATACCTTGTTGTGAAAAGTTTGTTTCCATAGTAACCATTAACATATCTGATACATGATGGTTCAAAAGCCTGTCAACTGTAAATATTTTATAGAAGTGAACATATCATTGCGGAATTTGTTACATATGTACTGCTAATATTACTGACACAAATTGCAATGCGCCATAACTAATGTAACAAAAAATAGCATAAAATGTTTCTAAAATATTTAGAAACACTAACTATATTAATCTGACATTTGGTTTGTATCATGCATACACATGATCTCTGTTTGGTCACATGGTTTGGCTTTCATCGTGGATTATCAGCTAAATAATTGCTATCACGCAACTTTGACTATAAGGACTGGTATATACAAAGAATATAATTAAGTATAGAACATGCAAATGAAAATCTGCACAGGAATCCTGGAAACAAATTAATTGTATAAAAATAAGACAGAAAACAACAAAGAAATTCCTTACACTTCATGAATTGAACATTTTCAATTAATTGGTAAACAAAACTCCAGATAGAATAAATGAAATAGAAATTAAATTAGAACAATTAGAAAATGAAATGAAATACAAGTAATTTATACGCATAGATTTCAACTCTGAAGTAATCACATCTGTGGATTATCTAAAAGTATCTATGTGCCTGGTTTTATTTAAATTTGATCAGTGATACTCAAGATATCTGAGGAGCACCTATAAATTGGTTAATTTATGCAAATTAGTGAGCACAAAATTTAACCCTAAACGTAACATGTATATGGTTTATCCCTAAAAATTTACATATGTAATATCAATTTTCATTGATTCTGATGAATATTTGAGATATTGGTGGAAAAGTTAAATATTAGCTAATTTATATTAGGTCATTTATATACACAAATTTCAACCAAAAATTAATTGGGTTTGCGAAATATCCAAGAGCATCTATGTATCATGTTTCATTAAAATCTGTTGAATGGTACATGAGAAACAAGTGAAAATTCTTAAAATTGCCGTATTAATATGCTAATTAAGTATTTAATAGGCACAGGGTTTCAACAAAAACTAATCAATACTACATATTATTCCAGAACATCTATATACCTACGTTACATTGAAATCTGTTTAATGATACATTAGGAACAAGTGACAATGCCTAAATCTGGCTAATTAATATAAAAATTAGGTAACTAGTATGCACGGATTTCAACCTAAGACTAATCAGGTCTGTGCATTACCCTAGAGTGTCGGGTATGTACCAAGTTTCATTGAAAACTGTTTAATAGAACAAGAGAAACAAATGAAAATGCCTAAAATTGCCAAAATAATATGCAAATTAGTTAATTAATATGCACAGGTTTCAAGTAAAACCTAATTAGGTCTGAGCATAATCCCAGAGCATCTATGCACCAATTATCATTAAAATCTGATAATTGGGTCATGAAATATCAGTGAAACAGACACACATACACAGATAAGCACACACAGACGCACTAAGGGCAAAGACTCTCATTGTGTGCTTCGCACTAAGGGAGTCAAAACACTACGAAAAAGACTTGAATATTCAAAACAAAAATGAAAATGCCAAATTACGTATATATAGTACTTTCAATAAGAGGAATACATACAAGTTAAACCAATTGCAAAATTTATATTAAATTGTAATAAACCGACAATAAAAAAAGAAGGTACACACAACCAAAAACACGAGTAGAAGCCATCGAATTTGCTCCCATTGTCATATTACAGAAGATGAAATACACCATTTGATAAACATGCTATTCAACACAATTAACCCAATAAACATTAAATTTACAATCAAAATTTTATCATCAATTCAAATCAAAACACCATAATATTATAGTCGCAGTATCAGACTACCTGACATCTTGTAACAGAATTTATACAAACTTGTTATAACCTTATTAGTTATCAGTTTTTATCTCATGTTATGTTTTATTATTATCGAAACCTTGTTGTATTTTCGTTAACTTTATTTCAAATGTAACCAAATTACAAATGTCAATTTTCTGAACGGTTGGAATAAAGCATCATTATTTGTTATCTTACCAATAAATCTTATGAAGTGTGTCAATGGAATAAAATATAGGTCACAACAATGGGTGTATAGGCCGTATGGTGTTACTGAATTTACCACAAAACCAGAAAGAGTCACTGTGTATCCAGTTGTTGGGTATTCAATACCATGCCCTTGTGAGATAGTTTCAAATGGCCGAGTGAAAAAGCGTATAGCAAGCACAAGGTGCCACGTAAGCATTACCTATCACACTACTGACATTGTCCATTTCAGCGATCATTTTAGTTTCGTCTCCAGTTCCACAACCAACATCCAAAACGACATCCCCGTCTCTCCAGTGACCATCCAGTAAAGATAGGGTTTGCAAAGCAGCATTATGTTGGACGTGTCTGTGTTTGGAATACGAGTCTACTTTACTGTAATTCATGGTAGTGTCATGAATTTGTTTTTGCGTATCTGTTGACCGACTTAATTAGCTGATTATTAGTTGAATTGCTGTGTTATGTATGTCATCGTTCAGGCCTATTTGAAGTTTTGGACGGAAATTGGCTCAGTGATTTGGAACTAATTACGAGATATCCGTCGCTATTTTGACAGTTGGTATTCATAGTTATTAATGTAGTGAACGATTAATCAAAAGATATGACGTATTCAGTACTTAGTGTGATTGGCTATATGATTGAAGGTTACGCCCTAGAGTCTTTTTACTGCTTTGTAATTGGTTAGAGTTTTGAAAATGAATAAAGAGAGTTTGAGTTGGTCTTGGGGAGCACAGCACGATAGACGGGGTAGAGAGAGGGCAGTCCGGGCGAGTCGAGTCGAGTCCTGGAGAGTCCTGTCCAGGGGCGAGCCTTGAGGCAGTCCAGTCTTGGGCGAGTCTTGGTTCAGCCTTGCGAGAGTCTTGGGGATTTTTCCCCAGGGCGCTGTGTCTTATAGAGTGCTCGATTGACCGACTAAGACGAGAGCTGAAACGTATTTCGTTGTGTGTGTCTTATTTGACTGTAAAGTATAAGTGACTTTCCCGATCCCGTACCTCAAGGGGACGAGATATAGAGACGAGACGAGTTTCCCCCTTGGCAAGTGTGGAGAACCCGAGAGTAGAAGAATTACCTATATGACATCACACTTCAAACGGTCAATTCGTCCCAACATATTCGTCCCAATGCATTTTCGTCTCATTGCCTTAGTTCAGCCCTAGGGTCGTGTGATGTTGATTCCAATGTCGGTGCAATGAGTTGTCAATTTCTAAGTGCATATATGAACTAGTTAGTGTCGTACTAATTCTTTTACAAACTAGAATAATGTTATCTGTGGCTATTGGTAATAAGACAGTCAAGCTTCACTTGATGCATATAAAATACAATCGGAAAGCCTTAAGGGAATGACCATTATTATTCCTAAGGGGGGTCAGGCAATTATCGGTGCTTTTTTCAAAAAAATCAATGGGGGCCCTTATTCATTTTGTAAAAGAGGGTGCCCTCTTTAGAAAAAAATGAAAAATTTGTAACCCCACCCCTTTTATACTATATATTTTCATGCATTTATATTGTTCAATAAAAAAGGTTGTAAAGTAAAATAAATTGTGTCTAAATCTTTAAGTGAAAAATATTCGCCCCCTTCAGCCTTGATAAAAAGTCACTGCCCCCTCCCCTTTTCGGCTTTAGAAAATATGCTGACACCCCTCTGTTTTACCCCCTCCCTTTCAGTAATAATAAATGGTCATTCCCTAAGTTTACAAAACTAAGTTTACGATATTTCCCGATATTCCGAAATAAACAACTTTTACCATGTTTACATTTACCCTTTGGCACATTAATTAATTAAACCAGAATCATAAATATGTAGATAACTTGATTTGACTATTGACGGATTAACGTACAGATCAATTACTAAATTGTTTTACCCTGTTGCTACCTTACGTAAATTGCATGTATTCTTTGTTTTAAAACAGTTGTATTTACAAGTGAGCCACAAGTAATTCAACGCATGTCAATAAACATGGTTTGGAAAATAGCGACTAGATAAAGATTTGGGGTCACGTGATGGTGAATGGTATTACGTCATCTATTCTATCATTCAGGTTGCACTCTGCAACATCTTGCCGAGAAAAGTATAAAACTAATTTGTGGTCAAACTGCGTTTAAATTTGTTTTTGTTTTTCAAGTGCCTAATCACTCTTTTTATTCAGTGGTGTCCGTGTCTAGGGAAAATTGTTTGAAACGAGTATGTTCTGTTCTTTTGAATCTTGCATTTGCTACAACAACAAGATATGTATTATATTGGTTAAAGGGCGGTGGTCGTCGCGCTGCGCATGTGCGACATATTTGTTGTTAAACATTGATTTTCCAACAGTCAAATTCGCTCTTCTAATGGAAATCACAAGTATGAGGTTTGACCTGAACGCGACTTGCATTAATTGTCATGAATTAGTTTTTGCGTATCTGTTAATCGACTTAATTAGCTGATTATTAGCGAATTGCTGTGTTATGTCTGTCATCGTTTAGGCCTATTTGAAGTTTTGGACGGAACTTGGCTCAGTGATTTGGAACTAATTACGAGATAACCGCCGCTATTTAGACTATTAATTCTGACAGTTGGTACCCGTAGTTATTAATGTAGTGAACGATTAATCAAAAGATATGACGTATTCAGTACTTAGTGTGATTGGCTTTATGACTGAAGGTTACGCCCTAGAGTCTTTTTACTGTATTGTAATTGGTTAGAGTTTTGAAAATGAATAAAGAGAGTTTGAGTTGGTCTTGGCAAGTACTCCAGAACAGAGGCAGTCCTGGAGAGCTTTGGGGCGAGTGTTGACGCAGTCTAAGAGAGTCTTGGGTCAGCCTTGCGATAGTCTTGGGGATTTTTTCCCCAGGGCGCCGTGTCTTATAGAGTGCTCGATTGACCGACTAAGACGAGAGCTGAAACGTATTTCGTTGTGCGTGTCTTATTTGACTGTAAAGTTAAAGTGACTTTCCCGATCCCATACCTCAAGGGGACGAGATATAGATACGAGACGAGATTCCCCCCTGACAAGTGCGGAGAACCCCGAGGAGAAGAATTTCCCCCCTGATATAATTACCGCCAGTTACTCTCTCAATACCTTCCAATCACCTAAAAAATACCTAATTAAAGCATCGTAACGTCTCAGTTTGCACTCGTTGATCTGCGCAACAATCAAAGTTGCCATTGTTGTTTATATGAGACACATATATCTCGCGCATAAGTCATTAAAATCTTTCGTTTTATGCATAGAAACTTGTATGTATTTTGTAAAGCGCCATTTTGTGCTAGGGAAAATTGGGTTACTCTTATCATAAATTGGTCACTGTCAATTGTTTTAATAACTTTAAAATTATCTCACCCTGTACGTTCAGGTTTTACTATCAAGTATAAGAACAAAACAAGCATTTGGGTAACTGCCGTGTATCTCAGTAAACTAGTATAACAACGTGAAACACCTGTGAGACCTCCAGCAGAAAAATAGAAGAGAAAACTTTTTTGCGCACGCGTTGCT